GGCTGCTTGCGTTGTGGCCAAAACGTCGTGAGAATTGTATTTTATAATGTTTTATTTTATTATTTTATTATTTCCCTTCTACGTGATGACTTTACCGAAAGAACCAAGAAGATGATTCCCTGCAGTCACGAAAGCTTTAAATCGAAATTCCAGGATGGGTCACAGGAGTCTAGAGGCAAATTCCATATCGGATGCCACAATGACATTTAAGTAACCCGTCAGGTTGGGGGTAATTACACTGAGATGGAGTTACAGAACATCATGAGATATCTACAACTACACCAACTACTTTTATTTGACCAGGTAAAACCCACTCAGCTATGTAGTTCTTTTTCAGAAGCAACCTGGCATAAATTGTAGCACAATGAAGTGGCTTATCACGTGGAAATGTATTGTCGCCGAGTACTCTTAAACATTGTAGATTTGAAGACGGAAGCTTGTGTTGCCTCCGAAACGTCGTGATTTTTTTTATTTTATTTTACTTTTATTAATTTTAATTTTTAAAAAATCCTTTATATTAAGTTCACTTGCTTGCTTGCTTACGACCGTGCAAATCTTTCGGTCGTTTTTTAACCCACTTCCCGTGATCCAATCGAGCAAGCACGCAAGCAAGCAAGCAAGTGAACTTAATATAAAGGATAAAAAAAACGCATTTCTTTAAGTGTTTTTTTTCTTTTCACGTCGTTTTTTTAAAGTGTAGGTTCCTTTGATATATTATGTTAATTAAAGTAAAATCCCAACATGTGTGTACAGTAGCCGTGTGCATTGTGTTTGTGCACATATGATGCAGGTTCACATTCCAGGCAGTGTCTCATAATGTCAATAACGACAATGCATTTTTTAAAAGTATTTTCACTTCCTTCTTTACCGTCGCTATAAGAGAAAGGTCATGGTCAAGCGTCTCTCTGAGCAACACAGCGAACTGTCCGAGTGAAGCCAACCACCCTTGCCCTGAGCCTGTTCATTCCACTCCAATAACTCATTGCTCCCAGCATGCGCTGCTGCTCCATTGCAGTGTTCGTTAATGGGTCTCTACAATCACTATGAGACCTCCTTTACCAGTGGCAAAATATAGTGGTAGGTTTTTACCCTTTAAACTGGTACAAACTGACACCTTTATACAAGGCATCATGTTTGCAATGACCGCAACACAAGCAGTCAAAATGCAAACAAAAATAAACAACTCTGATGATGGTAATGATATGCACTGTCCTTGAAGTTGATTGGTCCTCACCCGAGACAGCTTTCCTTAGAGCCTAGTCTCCATTGGTGTTGGACCAGATGACGCCAAAAGGCGGACAACTCAAAGACAGCGCACTATCAGAGTATTGAGAGCTCGGGGTAAGTATTTACACTGAGACCTCCTTTACCAGTGGCAAAATATAGTAATAGGTTTTTACCCTTTAAACTGGTACAAACTGACACCTTTATACAAGGCATCATGTTTGCAATAACCGCAACACAAGCAGTCAAAATACAAACAAAAAGAAACAACTCTGATGATGATAATGATATATTTTGACTGCTTGTGTTGCGGTTATTGCAAACATGATGCCTTGTATAAAGGTGTCAGTTTGTACCAGTTTAAAGGGTCTCTACAAGTCTACGGGTTCCTCTGAGTGGATCTTGGAGACTCGTTCTGTTCTATGGGTCTCTGCACGTGTGGGTGTCTACGTCAGTCTAGGTTGGTGGCGACTCTCGTAGCCTCTAATACCCACAATATCTGGAACTATTCAGGCAACCTCACCTGTCACCTGCCTAATATATTGTTAGAACCCCCCTCATCAACTCTGCCTCGGTAACCCCCTTGATTTATTTCTGATCGCCAATAGTTGGGTACATGAATAGGCATTCAAAGTTGAACCTGTCGAGAACTGTAGAGACCAGAATGAGTCTAATCTGCAAGCTTAAACTGGTGCAGGAGTCTGACAGCAGCAGGCGATGATTGCAGCTGCACAATTGAGATAACATCTCGCCATGGTGGTAACCAGGTTGCTTCTGAAAAGAGCCACATAGCACAGTGAGCCTTACCTGGTAACATTCAAAAGAGTTTATGTCGTTGTAGATATCTCAGGTCCGGGTAATTCCCCCAATGCACCAACTTGCTTTAATGTCATCGTGGCATCTGAGATGGAATTTGTCTGCAGACCTTACTTAGTAAATAAAAAATAGTATAAATTCGCGGTGTCATTTTTGGAATTTGTAAAGTGACACTCGTCCGAGGATGGTGAACGTCTACTGTGCAGTAGACAGAGCAGTGGCGGTGACTGCACCCGCAGTCGTGGAACCGCAGAAACGAAGTGGCAAGCACTGCCACACGGCCACCTCGATGATCCAAAACGTGGGCCAATCGAACTTTATCCTACTTTTCTATGTAAAGCTTTCGTGACTGCATGGATTCATCTTCTTGGTTCTTTCGGTAAAGTCACGTAGAAGGGAAATAATAATAAAAATAAAAAATATTAAAATAAAAACAAGAATATATACACACCTCTCATATTTAAATTCATTGTGGCAACTCTTTAAATGTTGAGTTTTTTATCGAATTCGATAAAGAAAAAAATGCATCTTCTTGTTATTTTGGTTGCCCGGGTCTCTCGTGGTGGGCAGAGAGTCGGGGAGGGCCAAGCCACCGACGACACAACTTGGCCACATCTGCCGGCCGGCTCGTAGCGCAGTGGGCTCTCGTCAGGGAAGTAAACTTCTGATTCTTCTGATTCTGAAGTGTGTGCGAGAGTCGGTGAGTGGTGGGGTGGATAAAGTGAGTGGGTGCATTCGTGGGTGAGTGCTTGGGCGAGTGAGTGTGTGTGTGACTGGGTGTGTAATTGTGGTGTGGGGAGCGGTAGTGTAGCGGTTAGCGCGCTGCGCTATGAACCCGGTGACACGGGTTCGATTCCCGCTCACGGCCAACACCAGTGACGATTATCTGAACTGGTCCTGGGCCTTCCCTAGGTCGACTCAGCCTCAAATGGTTACCAGGTGTGGTGCGTAAAAGCATTGCCAATAGAGAGACAAAGGCGGCCGGGCGTGGTGCTGGCCACGCACCCCCTCGTTTGGCGTACCGGCCTTAATAGGTGCTCGCCAACAGCTCCCAACAGTCTGTTATATACGGGGGATCTTTGTATGTATGTAATTGTGGAATGCGTTGATGATGTCTGCCGGCCGAAACCCCCTTGAAAAATAACTGTTTAGCTTAATGTGCTCTACTCGGGGAAGTTAACTTTCTGGTTCTTCTGAAAAACATTGAGTAGCAGCCATCAGGCTTGGTTTAGCTGCCAAAGATGCCTGTGCATTGCATGGAGGCTCGCGTAGACAACAGCCGTACATGCGAATATGAAACAACAATGTGTTTTATTTTTATTATTTTATTACTTCCCTTCTACGTGACTTTACCGAAAGAACCAAGAAGATGAATCCCTGCAGTCACGAAAGAAGCTTTAAATCGAAATTTAACGTGAAATAAGCAGTGGGGTCCGGCTGGGATCGGACAAGGTGAGAATGAGAGACGGTGACATCGCCATCAGTGGGTGGTGGAGGGAGGTGGAGTTGCTGATTGATTCAAACTGCTGGCAAGAGGCTCAAGATTCCAGGATGGGTCACGGAAGGCTACTGACATTATTTATCAGATGCCACAATGACATTCAAGCAACTTGTCACGTTGGGTTAACTACACTGAGATGGAATTACATGAGATATCTACAACGACACAAACTCTTTAGAATGTTACCAGGTAAAGGCTCACTGTGCTATGTGGCTCTTTGTCAGAAGCAACCAGCCCATTGCAAATGAGAGCGCAATAAAATGGCTCGTGTGGAAATTGATTGCAGCCAAATACTCTAAATGCGCGATGTTGATTCTAAATGTGGAGGGTAAACTGGAGGACCCAGATACAAATTCCCACGACCCAAGGGGAGAGAAAGACGAACATTTTAAATGCAAAGCAGCCGTAAGTCGAGAGAGATAACATCTCATAGCCACGGTCGGTGGCACCCAATCGATTGCCCTGTCTTAGCATAGACACCAACTGGTGCGCTGAGCTCTGCAAGGACGAGTTTATCTCTCGATACTCATCTCATGAACGAGCCACCGCAGCTGAGCCTCACCGATTTATATTAACACTCATTTTATAAAAAGAATATATTTGTTAAAATATTAGATTACTTTGATGCATTTTGTTCATGTCAGGGTGTGTAGAGTAGCCTAGTTCATACTCTTAGTTTTTTCGGTAAAGTCACGTAGGTAAAAAAATTAAAATGTATAAAAGTAAAATAAAAATAAAATAAAAATCACGACGTTTCGGAGGCAACACAAGCTTCCGTCTTCAGGTGGAACTGTCACAGCACGATAGCTGTATCAAGTTATCGTGCTGTTACTTTTATGAATTTTAATTAAATTTTTTAAAATAATAAAAATCACGACGTTTCGGAGGCAACACAAGTCTCCGTCATGAGGTGGGACCGTCACAGCCAGATTTGCTACGTGACTTTACCGAAAAATCGAAGAGTATGAATCCTTGCAGTCACGAAAGCTTCACATCTATAATTAGCCTAGTTCACTCTAGATTTTAAGCTTTCGTGACTGCAAGGATTCATATTCTTAGGTTTTTTCGGTAAAGTCACCATGTAGGTAAAAAAATTAAAATGTATAAAAGTAAAATAAAAATAAAATAAAAATCACGACGTTTCGGAGGCAACACAAGCTTCCGTCTTCATGTGGAACTGTCACAACACGATAGCTGTATCAAGTTATCGTGCTGTTACTTTTATGAATTTTAATTAAATTTTTATTTAACTTTTATGAATTTTAATTGTTTTGCCTAGTTCACCTTGAGGCTGATGTTTGTGCACCGAGGGCACGGGTTCACATTCCGGGCATTGTGTCTCGTGATGTCAGTGACGACAATGAAAATATTTACAGTCTTTTACTTCCTTCTTCGCCGTCGATATAAGAGAGAGAGAGCTCCTGGTCCAGCGTCTCTCTGAGCCACGTAGCGAGCGATCCCAGCAGAGCCCTTGAGTCATGGCGAGCGCAACTCCCAGTGAGAGTGTGGACAGTGAACTGCGCTGCTCCATCTGCCTGGGCACGTTCGTCTGCCCCTCCACGCTGAGCTGCGGACACTCGTTCTGCCTGCGGTGCCTGGAGGCCGCCTGGGAGACGGCGAGTAGCTTCAGCTGCCCGCAGTGCCGAGCGATCTTCCCTGTGCGACCCCAGCTGAGGAGGAACGTGGCCCTCGCCAACCTGGCCGAGCAGCTCAGAGTTGGAGACGGGATGGCCACGGCCGTCGTGTGTGACAACTGCAGTGATGGCCACACTCCTGCAGTGAAGACCTGCCTGAAATGCGAGATGTCCTTCTGTGCGACGCACTTGAAGCCTCACTTGGAGAATCCCAGGTTGAGAGGCCACGCCGTGGTGGAGCCCAATGCGATTTTGGACAAGAGAAGATGCCCTAATCACAGCAGGGAGCTGGAGTTCTACTGCACAGTAGACAGCGGCCTGCTCTGCTCAGCTTGCACTATCGCAGGTGAACACACGGGGCACGAGGTGCTGACGCTGCAGGACGAGCACGAGACACGGAAGGTGAGGCCCTCAGAGCGAGAAACCGTAACACGATCTCACCAATTCTCTCACTCAGCTGCACATCTGATGACAACAAAAAACTATCGTGTGTTCATGCTCTCCATTTTGAATCTCACTCTGCCTTTGCATTTCAGGAAAGGGCCTCAAAATATATTGAATCCTAGGGTTTCATTAAACACTAGCAGGAAGTACCCGAAAAAGGAATAGCGCTTGCTGACCGCAGGGCTTACGATGTGGTGCCTGGCTATTTTTTTTTACGTTAAACATTCCGTCTTCAGGTGGAACCGTTACAGCCAAACTTTGGCTGTAACGGTTCCACCTGAAGACGGAAGCTTGTTTTGCCTCCGAAACGTCGTGATTTAATTTAGTTGTTTTCATTTAATTTTTTTACCTACGTGACTTTACCGAAAAAAACAGAGTATGTTAACCCCACCGTTGGAGTGCCAAGCGCGCGACCACACACGAACCCACACACAAACCCACAATTTTTTACTTTTATATAGATAGATAGACAATTGCTGTATAAAGTAATTAAGTGGGCAGATATTTGAGACTGATATCACAGCCAGCCGAGAAACAATTCTCGTAGATGTATCTTCTAAACGAGACAGCTGTGGTCATCTGGTCGAACACCATATGAGACTAGGCTCCAAAGAAAGCCGTCTCTGGTGTGGACCAATCAGTTTCAAAGACAATGCATAAATGATCAGAGTATTGTGGTTAATGTAAACATGATTCCTTGCAAAAGGTGTCAGTTTTGTTGCCAGAAAAAAGGGGAAACCCCCTATTAGTATATTTTGGTACTGGCAAAGGAGGTCCCATGATATTAGTATTAGACACAGCTGTGGTCACGTGGGCCCGTGTGTCCGAGACGGTAGGGACACCAAGCCAGCACGGCTCCCACTGGCTGCTGCTACAACGAGGCATCAGCTTGCCCCCTCCCCGTGCCCACCGCTTCAGTCGCCGCACAGAGGCAGAATGGCGATGAGGGCCTTCACTGTGGAGGGGTCCATCTTCTTGGTTCTTTCGGTAAAGTCATCACGTAGAAGGGAAATAATAAAATAATAAAAATAAAACATAATAAGATAATTCTCACGACGTTTCGGCCACAACGCAAGCAGCCGTCCTCAGGTGAAGAACAGGGCTGTCGGGAAGACAGCGTCTGAATGATACACCCCAGGCTTGGCAGCGTATATTTAAGCTGGGTTGGAGGAGGAAGAGCGCCTTGACAAAAGCATTTACATACCGAAAGAATCAAGAAGAGATCTCTCTTCTTGGTTCTTTCGGTAAAGTCATCACGTAGAAGGGAAATAATAAAATAATAAAAATTAAACATAATAAAATACAATTCTCACGACGTTTCGGCCACAACGCAAACAGCCGTCCTCAGATGAAGACCAGGTCTGTCGGAAAGACAGCGTCTGAATGAAACACCACCAAGCTTGGCAGCGTATATACTTAAATAAATACTTAAATATACGCTGCCAAGCTTGGTGGTGTTCAGAAGACCAGGTCTGTCGGAAAGACAGCGTCTGAATGAAACACCACCAAGCTTGGCAGCGTATATACTTAAATAAATACTTAAATATACGCTGCCAAGCTTGGTGGTGTTCAGAAGACCAGGTCTGTCGGAAAGACAGCGTCTGAATGAAACACCACCAAGCTTGGCAGCGTATATACTTAAATAAATACTTAAATATACGCTGCCAAGCTTGGTGGTGTTCAGAAGAACAGGTCTGTCGGAAAGACAGCGTCTGAATGAAACACCACCAGGCTTGGCAGCGTATATTTAAGCTGCTGGGTTAGAAGGAGGAAGAGCGCCTTGACAAAATAATTTGCATATCAAGAGGAATTTAGCATATTTATGGGAAATGTGGAGGGGTCGTTGTGGAGGGAATGGCGGTGTGAGGTGTGTCTCAGGGGGCTGGAGTCTCCCCCTGGTGACGTCTCGTCTCTCACTGCAGACGCGCGTCGGGGAGGAGACGCGAGCGGTGGAGGAGAAGAGGACGATGGCGGAGGAGTCCGTGAAGCGGATGGAGGCCACTCGCAAGGGAGCGCAGGTACCGTGTCCGGGTCTCGCTCTTTGGCCCCCGTGACCTCCACCCGGCACGGAAGTCGCGAAGGTCAAAATGTTATTCAAGCAAACTTTTGCGCAAGCAGCTGCAGCTTCATAACTTTGATGCCTCTCATACTCTGATGGTGCATTGTCTTTGAGTTGTGCGCCTTTTGGCGTCATCTGGTCCAACACCATGTGAGACTAGGCTCTAAGGAAAGCTGTCTCGGGTGTGGACCAATCAACTTCAAGGACAGTGCATACATTATCAGAGTTGTGTTTTTTGTTTGCATTACGACTGCAGGTATTGTGGTCTATGCAAACATGACTCCTTGTAAAAAAGGTGTCAGTTTTGTTGCCAGATAGAAGGGTAAAAAACAATTATCATTTGATGCCTATTCTTGGTTCTTTTGGTAAAGTCACGTAGAAGGGAAGTAATGAAATAATAAAAATAAAACATAATAAAATAATTGTCCTGAGGACGGCTGCTTGCGTTGTGGCCGAAACGTCGTGAGAATTGTATTTTATTATGTTTTATTTTTATTATTTTATTACTTTCCTTCTACGTGACTTTACCGAAAGAACCAAGAAGATGAATCCCTGCAGTCACGAAAGCTTTAAATCGAAACTTTGATGCCTCTTAACTATATCATTAACTTTGGAACTCAACATTCACTACAAGGGGGATTGCACGTTTACGATAACCGCATTGGCGAGTCTGCCACGAGGTCGGCTCACTTGGCATTGCGTCTTCCACTCCTGTAGCAAAACAAACACGTTCCCTCGGAGTGGGCAGGTAGGAGCTTGGTTGGACAGCGCATTCGTGCACCACAGACAGACAAATAATCCCTGGTGGGCAAGTGTGGAACCTGTTGTTCCTCTAGCTGTATAACAAGATCACGTGACTTGAGGTAGTCAGGCAGCCAGCCCCCTTCACTATCGGCCCCTCCTCCTTCCTTAGGCCCCTCCCCCGACCCCCCCCCTCCCTTAGGCCCCTCCCCTTACCCCCCCTCCCTTAGGCCCCTCCCCCCTTAGGCCCCTCCCCTGACCCCCCTTCACTTAGGCCCCTCCCCCCTTAGGCCCCTCCCCTGACCACCCCCCCCATATCCTTAGGCTCCTCCCCTGGCCCCCCTCCCTTAGGCCCCTCTCCTGACTCCCCCCTTCACTTATGCCCCTCCCCTCTCCTTACCCGGAAGTAGGTCTCCACCAATCAATGACCCTCCTCCCTTAGGCCCCTCCCCTCTCCGTACCCGGCAGTAGGTCTCCACCAATCAAAGAGCTGTTTATATTATATATTTATTTATGCACGACAGACAGTCAGACAGACAAATAATCCCTGGTGGGCAGTGTGGTACATTGTTCCTACCTGTAAAACAAATGTATAGAGTGCCACGGATTGTCGGGGTGGATCTGTGGTGCAGCTGTTGCGCTGAACGGGAGGTCGCGCACCGGCACGGACGCAGAGGCACGAACACCGCATCATCGCGTCACCGGAGATGATTTAAACTACAACTATTTTTAAATCCTTTATATTAAGTTCGCTTGCTTGCTTGCTTGCGTGCTTGCGTGCTTGCTTGCTTGCTTACGACCGTGCAAATCTTTCCATCGTTTTTTAACCCACTTCTCGTGATCCAATCGAGCTGACATTTTCCACACAGACTCGTTGTGCGTGACAATTAATTTTCGTGAATTTTTTTTCCAAAATTGTACACTGTTTAGGGAAAACAAATTAAATATTTAATTACCAATTGCTTAATACTGGCAGACAATCATCTGACCCATAGGTGGCAGCCATCTCAAGCCAGAGGACGAGAGGACTCTAGCCGCCACGCATATAAAGGATTTATAGTGAAAAACTTTGTTTTTACGGGTTATACTTGTTACACTATGAGACATCTCCTTTACCAGTGGCAAAATATAGTAGTAGATTTTTACCCTTTCAACTGGTACAAAACTGACACCTTTATACAAGGCATCATGTTTGCAATAACCACAACACAAGCAGTTAAAATGCAAACAAAAAGAAACAACTCTGATGATGATAATGATATGCACTATCCTTGAAGTTGATTGGTCCACACCCGAGACAGCTTTCCTTAGAGCCTAGTCTCCATTGGTGTTGGACCAGATGACGCCAAAAGGCGCACAACTCAAAGACATTGCACCATCAGAGTATGGAACCTCATTTGCCAGTAAAAAATATGATAATTGGTTTTTTACCCTTTTATCTGGCAACAAAACTGACACCTTTTTTTCAATGGTGTAAATGCTTTACCCGAGCTCTCATACTCTGATGGTGAATTGTCTTTGAGTTGTGCGCCTTTTCGCGTCATCTGGTCCAGGTACGGGTACCCGTTTGCGACATCGAGATACCAAGAAACCCATAGAGACTCATAAGATACAGAGACCCCGAGAGAGACACATAGACACCCAGTCACGAAAACTTCAAATCTAAACTATGTTTTATTTGACCAGGAACGGTTCCATTGAGCGATGTAGTTATTTTATCAGATGCGACCCGGCTATTACATAATGATAGCTCAACAAAATGTATGATTGTAATGTTGAACACGTGTAAGGCTTTCGCGACCAATATTATTCATAATCAACGTTTTTTGGGTTTAGATCGCGTTATTTATAAATGTGTCGTAACCCTCCACCACCCGACACGGCCAATCAGTAAAAAAGTGTCACGTTGACAAAAGACAAATACTGTAGTTCACTGCTTTAGCCCCATACCGGTGTGTTGAAGCGTGAAACCACAACAGTTACAATGTTTGAGTAGTACGACGTTTCGCTGGTAATTGCATCCAGCATCATCGGGCAATTCGCCAGAATGGCGAGGCTCTGCTCTGGCTCCCGGTCTTATAAATAGTAAATGTTGTGGTTTCATGCTTCAACACACCGGTATGGGGCTAAAGTAGTGAACTAGTTGTCTTTTGTCAACGTGACACTTTTTTACTGATTGGCCGTGTCGGGTGGTGGAGGGTTACGACACATTTATAAATCACGCGATCTAAACCCTAAACAACGTTGATTATGTAATGTTGAAATTGATCAATATAGAGTGAAAAAAATTAACCCGTAAAAACAAAGATTTTCACTCTAAATCCTTTATATGCATGGCGGCTAGAGTCCTCTCGTCCTCTGGCTTGAGATGGCTGCCACCTATGGGTCAGATGATTGTCTGCAGTATTAAACAATTGGTAATTAAATATTTAATTTGTTTTCCCTAAAAAGTGTAAAATTTTGGAAAAAAAATTTCACGAACATTAATTGTCACGCACAACGAGTCTGTGTGCAAAATGTCAGCTCGATTGGATCACGGGAAGTGGGTTAAAAAAACGACCGAAAGATTTGCACGGTCGTAAGCAAGCAAGCAAGCACGCAAGCGAACTTAATATAAAGGATTTAAAAAAACGAGGGGACGCAGAGAAATATCCACACAACCACAGAGCAAACGCAAGAACCCCATAGATGGAGCAGGCGTCGGGGGTCAGGATCGAACCCTGACCTGCTGTATACCAGGCGAGGGAGTCAACATCTCTTAGCCACCCGCTCGCACACACACACCGAGTGGCTCACGGCTCAGGGAGCCAACCGTGGCCCCCGCAGGAATCGTTGGCCGTGATCAGGGGTCGCATCGTGCGCAAGTTCGCCCGCCTCAGGAGGGCTCTGGACGAGGACGAGAGGGAGGCTCTACGCCGCGTGGCCGTGAAGGAGCGCGAGCTACTGTCCCGGATAGACGAGGACATCGCTCATCACAAGCGAGAGATCGGGGAGCTCCAAGCGGCGGCCGCCCGCCTGAGCGCCCTGCGACACGAGAGGGACTCGCTCGCCTTCCTGCAGGTGGGGAGAGGCTCTGTGGAGACGCCGTTTTGTGTGTCAAGATCAACGGAGCGGGCAGTGGCAGGGGGACACGTGGTGCAAGGGTAGAGACGTCATCTTCTTGGTTCTTTCGGTAAAGTCATCACGTAGAAGGGAAGTAATAAAATAATATAAATAAAACATAATAAAATAATTCTCACGACGTTTACGTGACTTTACCGAAAGAACCAAGAAGATGAATTCCTGCAGTCACGAAAGCTTTAAATCGAAAGGTAGAGACGTCATTCATGATCTCTCTGTTTCTCTCTCTCTATTCCACAGGGGCACCTGGAGGAGACGCGCAGGTACAGAGCCTTAACGTGTCACGGCTGAACACTCAGCACGGGGCTGTGTGTGTTAGACAGAGGCTGTGTGTGTGTGTTAGACACAGGCTGTGTGTGTGTGTTAGACACAGGCTGTGTGTGTGTGTGTTAGACACAGGCTGTGTGAGTGTGTTAGACACATGAGCTGTGTGTGTGCGTGTTAGACACAGGCTGTGTGTGTGTGTGTTAGACACAGGCTGTGTGTGTGTGTTAGACACATGAGCTGTGTGTGTGTTAGACACATGAGCTGTGTGTGTGTGTTAGACACAGGCTGTGTGTGTGTGTTAGACACATGAGCTGTGTGTGTATTAGACACAGGCTGTGTGTGTTAGACACAGGCTGCGTGTGTGTGTGTTAGACACAGGCTGTGGTGTGTGTTAGACACATGAGCTGTGTGTGTGTGTTAGGACACAGGCTGTGTGTGTGTGTGTTAGACACATGAGCTGTGTGTGTGTGTTAGACACAGGCTGTGTGTGTGTGTGTTAGACACATGAGCTGTGTGTGTGTGTTAGACACAGGCTGTGTGTGTGTTAGACACATGAGCTGTGTGTGTGTGGTGTTAGACACAGACTGTGTGTGTGTTAGACACAGGCTGTGTGTGTGTGTGTGTTAGACACATGAGCTGTGTGTGTGTGTGTTAGACACAGGCTGTGTGTGTGTTAGACACATGAGCTGTGTGTGTGTGTGTTAGACACAGACTGTGTGTGTGTTAGACACAGGCTGTGTGTGTGTGTGTGTTAGACACATGGGGATGTGTGTGTGTTAGACAGAGGCTGTATGTGTGTGTGTTAGACACACGGTTGTGTGTGTGTGTTAGACACATGAGCTGTGTGTGTGTTAGACACAGGCTGTGTGTGTGTGTGTTAGACACATGAGCTGTGTGTGTATTAGACACAGGCTGTGTGTGTGTGTGTTAGACACAGGCTGTGTGTGTGTGTGTTAGACACATGAGCTGTGTGTGTGTATGTTAGACACATAAGCTGTGTGTGTGTGTTAGACACAGGCTGTGTGTGTGTGTGTGTTAGACACATGAGCTGTGTGTGTGTTAGACACAGGCTGTGTGTGTTAGACACATGCTGTGTGTGTGTGTTAGACACAGGCTGTGTGTGTGTGTTAGACACAGGCTGTGTGTGTGTGTTAGACACGGGCTGTGTGTGTTAGACAGAGGCTGTGTATGCGTGTTAGACACAGGCTGTGTGTGTGTGTTAGACACATGAGCTGTGTGTGTGTGTTAGACACAGGCTGTGTGTGTGTGTTAGACACAGGCTGTGTGTGTGTGTTAGACACATGAGCTGTGTGTGTGTTAGACACAGGCTGTGTGTGTGTGTGTTAGACACATGAGCTGTGTGTGTGTGTGTTAGACACAGGAGCTGTGTGTGTCTGTGTTAGACACAGGCTGTGTGTGTGTGTGTTAGACACAGGCTGTGTGTGTGTGTGTTAGACACAGGCTGTGTGTGTGTGTTAGACACAGGCTGTGTGTGTGTGTGTTAGATACAGGCTGTGTGTGTTAGACACATGAGCTGTGTGTGTGTTAGACACATGGGGATGTGTGTGTGTGTATGTTAGACACATGAGCTGTGTGTGTGTGTGTGTTAGACACAGGAGCTGTGTGTGTGTGTTAGACACAGGCTGTGTGTGTGTGTGTTAGACACAGGCTGTGTGTGTGTGTGTTAGACACAGGCTGTGTGTGTGTGTGTTAGACACATGAGCTGTGTGTGTGTGTGTTAGACACAGGCTGTGTGTGTGTGTGTGTTAGACACAGGCTGTGTGTGTGTTAGATACAGGCTGTGTGTGTTAGACACAGGCTGTGTGTGTGTTAGACACAGGCTGTGTGTGTGTGTGTTAGACACAGGCTGTGTGTGTGTGTGTTAGACACATGAGCTGTGTGTGTGTTAGACACACGAGCTGTGTGTGTATGTTAGACACACGAGCTGTGTGTATGTTAGACACACGAGCTGTGTGTGTGTTAGACACAGGCTGTGTGTGTGTGTGTGTTAGACACATGAGCTGTGTGTGTGTTAGACACAGGCTGTGTGTGTTAGACACATGCTGTGTGTGTGTGTGTTAGACACAGGCTGTGTGTGTGTGTGTTAGACACAGGCTGTGTGTGTGTGTTAGACACGGGCTGTGTGTGTGTTAGACAGAGGCTGTGTATGTGTGTTAGACACAGGCTGTGTGTGTGTGTTAGACACATGAGCTGTGTGTGTGTGTTAGACACAGACTGTGTGTGTGTGTTAGACATATGAGCTGTGTGTGTGTGTGTGTTAGACACAGGCTGTGTGTGTGTGTTAGACACATGAGCTGTGTGTGTGTGTTAGACACAGGCTGTGTGTGTGTGTGTGTGTTAGACACATGATCTGTGTGTGTGTGTGTTAGACACAGGAGCTGTGTGTGTGTGTGTTAGACACAGGCTGTGTGTGTGTGTGTTTTAGACACAGGCTGTGTGTGTGTGTGTTAGACACAGGCTGTGTGTGTGTGTTAGACACAGGCTGTGTGTGTGTGTGTTAGACACAGGCCGTGTGTGTGTGTTAGACACAGGCTGTGTGTGTGTGTGTTAGACACAGGCTGTGTGTGTGTGTTAGACACAGGCTGTGTGTGTGTGTGTTAGACACAGGATGTGTGTGTGTGTGTTAGACACATGAGCTGTGTGTGTGTGTGTTAGACACACGAGCTGTGTGTGTGTTAGACACAGGCTGTGTGTGTGTGTGTTAGACACAGGCTGTGTGTGTGTGTTAGACACATGCTGTGTGTGTGTGTTAGACACAGGCTGTGTGTGTGTGTGTGTTAGACACATGAGCTGTGTGTGTGTGTGTTAGACACAGGAGCTGTGTGTGTGTGTGTTAGACACAGGCTGTGTGTGTGTGTGTTAGACACAGGCTGTGTGTGTGTGTGTTAGACACAGGGTGTGTGTGTGTGTGTTAGACACATGAGCTGTGCGTGTGTGTGTTAGACACAGGCTGTGTGTGTGTGTTAGACACAGGCTGTGTGTGTGTTAGATACAGGCTGTGTGTGTTAGACACATTAGCTGTGTGTGTGTTAGACACATGAGCTGTGTGTGTGTGTTAGACACAGGCTGTGTGTGTGTGTGTCAGACACATGAGCTGTGTGTGTGTTAGACACACGAGCTGTGTGTGTATGTTAGACACACGAGCTGTGTGTGTGTTAGACACAGGCTGTGTGTGTGTGTGTGTTAGACACATGAGCTGTGTGTGTGTTAGACACAGGCTGTGTGTGTTAGACACATGCTGTGTGTGTGTGTGTGTTAGACACAGGCTGTGTGTGTGTGTGTTAGACACAGTCTGTGTGTGTGTGTTAGACACGGGCTGTGTGTGTGTTAGACAGAGGCTGTGTATGTGTGTTAGACACAGGCTGTGTGTGTATGTTAGACACATGAGCTGTGTGTGTGTGTTAGACACAGACTGTGTGTGTGTGTTAGACACATGAGCTGTGTGTGTGTGTGTGTTAGACACAGGCTGTGTGTGTGTGTTAGACACATGAGCTGTGTGTGTGTGTTAGACACAGGCTGTGTGTGTGTGTGTGTGTTAGACACATGAGCTGTGTGTGTGTGTGTGTTAGACACAGGAGCTGTGTGTGTGTGTGTTAGACACAGGCTGTGTGTGTGTGTGTTAGACACAGGCTGTGTGTGTGTGTGTTAGACACAGGCTGTGTGTGTGTGTGTTAGACACAGGCTGTGTGTGTGTGTTAGACACAGACTGTGTGTGTGTGTTAGACACAGGCTGTGTGTGTGTTAGACACAGGCTGTGTGTGTGTGTGTTAGACACAGGCTGTGTGTGTGTGTTAGACACAGGCTGTGTGTGTGTGCTAGACACAGGCTGTGTGTGTGTGTGTTAGACACAGGCTGTGTGTGTGTGTTAGACACATGAGCTGTGTGTGTGTGTTAGACACAGGCTGTGTGTGTGTGTTAGACACATGAGCTGTGTGTCTGTGTTAGAAACACGAGCTGTGTGTGTGTGTTAGACACAGGCTGTGTCAGTGTGTGTTAGACACAGGCTGTGTGTGTGTGTGTGTAGACACAGGCTGTGTGTGTGTGTGTTAGACACAGGCCGTGTGTGTGTGTGTTAGACACAGGCTGTGTGTGTGTGTTAGACACAGGCTGTGTGTGTGTGTGTTAGACACAGGCTGTGTGTGTGTGTGTTAGACACAGGCTGTGTGTGTGTGTGTTAGACACAGGCTGTGTGTGTGTGCTAGACACAGGCTGTGTGTGTGTGTGTTAGACACAGGCGGTGTGTGTGTGTGTTAGACACATGAGCTGTGTGTGTGTTAGACACACGGGCTGTGTGTGTATGTTAGACACACGAGCTGTGTGTGTGTTAGACACAGGCTGTGTGTGTGTGTGTTAGACACGAGCTGTGTGTGTGTGTTAGACACAGGCTGTGTGTGTGTGTGTGTTAGACACAGGCTGTGTGTGTGTGTGTTAGACACAGGCTGTGTGTGTGTGTTAGACACAGGCTGTGTGTGTGTGTGTTAGACACAGGCCGTGTGTGTGTGTGTTAGACACATGCCGTGTGTGTGTGTGTGTTAGACACAGGCTGTGTGTGTGTGTGTTAGACACGAGCTGTGTGTTTGTGTGTTAGACACAGACTGTGTGTGTGTGTGTGTTAGACACAGGCTGTGTGTGTGTGTGTTAGACACAGGCTGTGTGTTTGTGTGTTAGACACAGACTGTGTGTGTGTGTGTTAGACACAGACTGTGTGTGTGTGTGTTAGACACAGGCTGTGTGTGTGTGTGTTAGACACAGGCTGTGTGTGTGTGTTAGACACAGGCTGTGTGTGTGTGTGTTAGACACAGACTGTGTGTGTTTGTGTTAGACACAGGCTGTGTGTGTGTGTTAGACACAGGCTGTGTGTGTGTGTTAGACACAGGCTGTGTGTGTGTGTGTTAGACACAGGCTGTGTGTGTGTTAGACGCAGGCTGTGTGTGTGTGTGTTAGACACATGAGCTGTGTGTGTGTGTTAGACACAGACTGTGTGTGTGTGTGTGTGTTAGACACAGGCTGTGTGTATGGTAGACACATGAGCTGTGTGTGTGTGTGTTAGACACAGACTGTGTGTGTGTTAGACACAGGCTGTGTGTGTGTGTGTGTTAGACACAGGCTGTGTGTGTGTGTGTGTTAGACACAGGCTGTGTGTGTGTGTGTTAGACACATGAGCTGTGTGTGTGGTAGACACATGAGCTGTGTGTGTGTGTGTTTTAGACACAGGCTGTGTGTGTGTGTTAGACACATGAGCTGTGTGTGTGGTAGACACATGAGCTGTGTGTGTGTGTGTTTTAGACACAGGCTGTGTGTGTGTGTTAGACACATGAGCTGTGTGTGTGGTAGACACATGAGCTGTGTGTGTGTTAGACACACGGGCTGTGTGTGTGTGTTAGACACACGGGTTGTCTGTGAGAGATGTCCTATATGTGAGACGCAGGCTGTGTATGAGACACGGCATGTGCGATGGATCTCATTTGTTCTGCTGCTGTGGTTGAACGAGGCTGTGTGTGATGCTGTTGCTGGTTGTCCTAGAAGAGACATCCCAAAGGGATCTGCACCCCCACCTCCCACTTCACTGGACGTCACCACGATCCGCTCCCTTGAAAGTGCCATGTGCAGACTCCTGCCTCTCGTCTGTGAGTTGTTCCTCAGTCTTGCACCCGCGCGTTTTGCTGTGTTGCACTGCACTTCTGTGCTCCCCATCTTCATCAACTTTTCAGTTAATTTTATCAGCTGAGGAACCCACTGAACCATGTCGCTGTTTTTAACAAGCGACCCGATTATCACAAATGATCGATCAACGACGTGGACTATCACGTGGATATTTATAACAGCAACCAAATCCTGATAATTGTTTTTTTACCCTTTTATCTGGCAACAAAACTGACACCTTTTTTTACAAGGAGTCATGTTTGCATAGACCACAATACCTGCAGTCATAATGCAAACAAAAACATAACTCTGATAATGTATGTGCACTGTCCTTGAAATTGATTGGTCCACACCAGAGACAGCTTTCCTTAGAGCCTAGTCTCACATGGTGTTGGACCAGATGACGCCAAAAGGCGCACAACTCAAAGACAATGCACCATCAGAGTATGAGAGCTCGGGGTAAGCATTTACACCATTGGTACCTCATTTGCCAGAAGAAAAAATATGATAATTGGTTTTTTACCCTTCTATCTGGCAACAAAACTGACACCTTTTTTTTACAAGGAGTCATGTTTGCATAGACCACAATACCTGCAGTCGTAATGCAAACAAAAAACACAACTCTGATAATGTATGCACTGTCCTTGAAGTTGATTGGTGCACACCCGAGACAGCTTTCCTTAGAGCCTAGTCTCTTAATGCAAATTGATTTTTGCGGATGTAAAAACGCGAGGAACCAGAGAGAGAGAGGGAGACACAGACTCTGAAAGAGAGCGACATGGATCAGTGGGCTCGACCTGGTGAAACGAAATTAGTTTAACAGCTTCAATATTTCGATTTAAAACTTTCGTGACTGCAGGGATTCATCTTCTTGGTTCTTTCGGTAAAGTCATCACGTAGAAGGGAAACAATAAAATAATAAAAATAAAACATAATCAAATAATTCTCACGACGTTTCGGCCACAACGCAAGCAGCCGTCCTCAGGTGAAGAACAGGTCTGTCGAGAAGACAGCGTCTGAATGAAACACCACCAGGCTTGGAGCGTATATTTAAGCTTCTCGACAGACCTGTTCTTCACCTGAGGACGGCTGCTTGCGTTGTGGCCGAAACGTCGTGAGAATTATTTTATTATGTTTTATTTTTATTATTTTATTATTTCCATTCTACGTGACTTTACCGAAAGAACCAAGAAGAGCTTCAATATTCTACTAAACCCTACTGCTGGCTACTGGGGCACGTGCTGTTAGCGAGCACCTATGAAGGCCGCACGGCACACGAGGGGGTGGGTGGCCAGCACCACGCCCGGCCACCTTTGTCTCCCTAGTGCCAAATGTATATACATCACGCCAGCAGAGGGCAGTGCAGCGTGAACCATTGTTGTACTGCACCTCTACGCTTCTATGTTCACGATCCCCACCAACGCGCACCGACGAAAGCGGTGAAGTATGGTCAAATAACCCCCCCCAGGACGCGCACGGCGCGGGGATGCGCTCATCCAGCAGCGGAGTGACACACAATGTGTGTGTGTGGATGTGAGAGTGTGCGAGACTGTGACACACAATGTGTGTGTGTGGATGTGAGAGTGTGCGAGACTGTGACACACAATGTCTGTGTGTGTGTGGGTGTGAGAGTGTGAGACTGTGACACACAATGTGTGTGTGTGTGGGTGTGAGAGTGTGAGACTGTGACACACAATGTGTGTGTGTGTGGGTGTGAGAGTGTGTGAGACTGTGACACACAATGTGTGTGTGTGTGGGTGTGAGAGTGTGAGACTGTGACACACAATGTGTGTGTGTGTGGGTGTGAGAGTGTGTGAGACTGTGACACACAATGTGTGTGTGTGGATGTGAGAGTGTGCGAGACTGTGACACACAATGTGTGTGTGTGTGGATGTGAGACTGTGCGAGACTGTGACACACAATGTGTGTGAGTGGATGTGAGAGTGTGCGAGACTGTGACACACAATGTGTGTGTGGATGTGAGAGTGTGCGAGACTGTGACACACAATGTGTGTGTGTGGATGTGAGAGTGTGCGAGACTGTGACACACAATGTGTGTGTGTGGATGTGAGAGTGTGCGAGACTGTGACACACAATGTGTGTGTGTGGATGTGAGAGTGTGCGAGACTGTGACACACAATGTGTGTGTGTGGGTGTGAGAGTGTGCGAGACTGTGACACACAATGTGTGTGTGTGAGTGTGAGAGTGTGCGAGACTGTGACACACAATGTGTGTGTGTGTGGATGTGAGAGTGTGCGAGACTGTGACACACAATGTGTGTGTGTGTGAGAGTGTGCGAGACTGTGACACACAATGTGTGTGTGTGTGAGAGTGTGCGAGACTGTGACACACAATGTGTGTGTGTGTGAGAGTGTGCGAGACTGTGACACACAATGTGTGTGGGTGTGAGAGTGTGCGAGGCTGTGACACACAATGTGTGTGTGTGAGTGTGAGAGTGTGCGAGGCTGTGACACACAATGTCTGTGTGTGGATGTGAGAGTGTGCGAGGCTGTGACACACAATGTCTGTGCGTGGATGTGAGAGTGTGCGAGGCTGCGGTGGCTGTGGTACAGGCGTCGTGTTTGTCGAGAGACGTTGTGAGAGTGGCGTCAATATGGTGGTGCTGGCATCATCACCACTGTTCACTGCCACTGTACACACACCCATGGTCATGTTAGTGTAGTGCAATAAGTATAAATGACTTTTTATTCATGCATTAGTATATACATTTTTATTTGAGGCTTTCGTGACCGCAGGAATCCGTACTCCTTGGTCCTTTGCCTCGATGTAGCAACGGTGGCTCTCGCTGTTTAATAGTCTGTACGGCAGAGGTCGCAAACGGGTTTTGATTCCTTACCCGTACCCGTACCCGGCCGCACCAGGATCGCAAATGGGTACCCGTACCCGTACCGGGCCGGGTACGGGTAGCCGTTCCCTACCCGAAATGAGTGACATACGGTGACTCACCAGTGACTCACGGCCTACCCGTACCCGTACCCGGCCGCACCAGGGTCGCAAACGGCTACCCGTACCTGTACCCGGCCGGGTACGGGTAGCCAGGTATCGGGTAGGGTACGGGTATCGGGTACCCGGTTGCGACCTCTGTTGTACGGTATGTCTCACTGGCACGGCCACCGTTACGGTGGTTCTCATACTCTTAGTTCTTTCGGTAAAGTCACGTAGGTAAAAAAGTAAAATAAAAATTAATAAAAATAAAATAAAATTAAATTAAAATTAATACAAATAAAATAATACTTTTATTATTTTTAATTAAATAATATTTTTTTCTTAATTTTAATTTCATTTTTTACCTACACGGTGACTTTACCGAAAGAACTAAGAGTATGAATCCTTGCAGTCACGAAAGCTTCAAATCTACAACGGTGGTTCTCTTGCGTTGACACGATGGCCTCACCGTGCAGCAGCCAACGCCGCCGCTTGTGTTGCCCACGAGGTGGCGCTGTGCCCGGTCCTCTGACGCAGAGACGCCATCTTCCCATTAAACTCGCTTACATTGACGTACTAATGTCAATACTCTTAGTTTTTTGCGGTAAAGTCACGTAGGTAAAAAAATTGAAATGAAAATTAATAAAAATAAAATAATAAAATCACGACGTTTCGGAGGCAACACAAGTCTCCGTCATCAGGTGGGACCGTCACAGCCACATTTGCTGTATCATGTCTCCCATTACTAATGTCTCCCATTAACGCAGCCGCTGTGCGTGCGTGCGGTGACGGGACTCCTTTTCATCTCGAGCCCTGCCTACTTACCATTGGGTTGCACACACCTCAAACCTACATAACCTCTTGTTGCAGCATCTCTCCCGCTATATTTTTCCCTGGTTCAGCAGTTCTACTGCCGTGTTATTTTTTTTCACCTGAGGACGATTGCTTGTGTTGCGATCGAAACGTCGTGATTTTTTTTTATTTTTGCCTACGTGATTTTACCGAAAGAACCAAAGAGTATAGTAATGAATTGTTCTTCTTGGTTCTTTCGGTAAAGTCACGTAGAAGGGAAATAATAAAATAATAAAAATAAAACATAATAAATTAATTCTCACGACGTTTCGGCCACAACGCAAGCAGCCGTCCTCAGGTGAAGAACAGGTCTGTCGGAAGGACAGCGTCTGAATGAACACCACCAAGCTTGGCAGCATATATTTAAGCTGGGTTAGAGGAGGAAGGGCGCCTTGACAAATATACGCTGCCAAGCCTGGTGGCGTTTCATTCAGACGCTGTCTTTCCGACAGACCTGTTCTTCACCTGAGGACGGCTGCTTGCGTTGTGGCCGAAACGTCGTGAGAATTGTATTTTATGTTTTATTTTTATTATTTTATTATTTCCCTTCTACGTGACTTTACCGAAATAACCAAGAAGATGAATCCCTGCAGTCACGAAAGCTTTAAATCGAAATTTAATGAATTATTATTCACGAATGAGTATTAGTGTGTGTACACAAACACTAATGAATATTAGTATGTGTAGACATATACTAACGAATATTAGTAAGTCTACACAAATACTAATGAATATTAGTATGTGTAGACATATACTAACGAATATTAGGTGTACACAAACACTAAAATATTAGTATGTGTACACATATACTAACGAATATTAGTAAGTGTAGACAGATACTAACGAATATTAGTATGTGTAGACAGATACTAACGAATATTAGTATGTGTAGACAGATACTAACGAATATTAGTATGGGTAGACAGATACTAACGAATATTAGTATGTGTAGACATATACTAACGAATATTAGTATGTGTAGACAGATACTAACGAATATTAGTATGTGTAGACAGATACTAACGAATATTAGTATGTGTACACATATACTAACGAATATTAGTATGTGTAGACAGATACTAACGAATATTAGTATGGGTAGACAGATACTAACGAATATTAGTAAGTGTAGACAGATACTAACGAATATTAGTAAGTGTAGACAGATACTAACGAATATTAGTATGTGTAGACAGATACTAACGAATATTAGTATGTGTACACATATACTAACGAATATTAGTATGTGTAGACAGATACTAACGAATATTAGTATGGGTAGACAGATACTAACGAATATTAGTAAGTGTAGACAGATACTAACGAATATTAGTAAGTGTAGACAGATACTAATGAATATTAGTATGTGTACACATATACTAACGAATATTAGTATGTGTAGACATATACTAACGAAAATTATTATGTGTAGACAGATACTAATGAATATTAGTATGTGTAGACATATACTAACGAATATTAGTATGTGTACACATATACTAACGAATATTAGTATGTGTACACATATACTAACGAATATTAGTATGTGTAGACATATACTAACGAATATTAGTATGTGTAGACATATATTAACGAATATTAGTATGTGTAGACAGATACTAACGAATATTAGTATGTGTAGACAGATACTAACGAATATTAGTATGTGTACACAAACACTATTGAATATTAGTATGTGTAGACATATACTAACGAATATTAGTAAGTGTACACAAACACTAATGAATATTAGTATGTGTAGACAGATACTAACGAATATTAGTATGTGTAGACATATACTAACGAATATTAGTATGTGTAGACATATACTAACGAATATTAGTATGTGTAGACAGATACTAACGAATATTAGTATGTGTAGACAGATACTAACGAATATTAGTAAGTGTACACAAACACTAATGAATATTAGTATGTGTAGACGGATACTAACGAATATTAGTAAGTGTAGACAGATACTAAAGAATATTAGTAGGTGTACACAAATACTTAAGAATACATGCATGCCTACACTAATACTAACGAATATTAGCATATATACACAAATATTAACGAATGTGTACACAAATACTCACGAATATTAGCATGTGTACACAAATACTAACGAATATTAGTATGTGTCCAAAGATACTAACGAATGTTAGTATGTGTCCAAAGATACTGATGAATGTTAGCATGTGTACAATAATACTAACGAAAACCAGTACTGTATGCATTTGTGATACAAGTGCTAATGTATCCCATGACCACAACAACACAACAGACAACACAACTCTCCGTCATCAGGTGGGACCGTCAAAGCCAGATTTTCTGCATCACTTGATGCAGCAAATCTGGCTGTGACGGTCCCACCTGATGAAGGAAACTTGTGTTGCCTCCGAAACGACGTGATTTTTATTATTTTATTTTTATTAATTTTTATTTCATTTTTTACCTACGTGACTTTACCGAAAAAACTAAGAGTATGAATCCTTGCAGTCACGAAAGCTTCAAATCTAGAATTAGACAACACAACACCAGCGTGTGCGTGCGTGTGTACACGCTACTGTGCACGTGTCACCGTGACTGCTATGCGAGCATCATCGCTGTCCTCACCACAGATGGACGCTCACCGACTCTGGACACAAACTCAGCCCACAACCGCCTCCAGATTTCCTCGGATCTCAGGACGGTGATGCTGAGCGGTGTCTCCCAGGGTCGCCCCCATCACCCACACCGCTTTGACGTGTGGGGACAAGCCCTGTGCTCTGAGAGCTTCTCGTCGGGTCAGCACTACTGGGAGGTGGACGTGGGGAGCGCGGAGTTGTGTCGGGTTGGAGTCGCGTACGGGACGATCCCACGGAGAGGGAGTGTTGCTGAGTGCTGCCTGGGAGTGAGCGACGTCTCCTGGTGTCTACAGAAACTTGGCGACAGCTTCTCAGTGCATCATGGCGGGGTAGAGACGTCACTGTCCGTGCCGGAGCCTCAGCGGAGAGTCGGGGTCCATCTGGACTGGGACGCGGGGCTGCTGTCGTTTTACAGCGCCGACTCCATGGCGCCGTTGCACTCGTTTCACCAAAGCTTCGCTCGGCCTCTACATGCTGGGCTTTTGGTTGGGTGGGGTAAAGTTGGTGACTCAGTGACGATTGTGGATCTGAGTGGTGAGTGCTCAGAGCGGTGAACGTGAACAGCGTCGAGGGCAGACGCCATGACGCACGGCGCTCGCCACCATCATCGCCGTCACGCGCAGTTGCCACGCCAGTGACTGGCTGGTGGCCGTCGGTGGCGAGGGGCTGCGTGGCTCTCCATCACAACGGGGGGCTAAGCGTAAACAATCCTCGCAACATTTCTAAGGGGGTGATACAATAAGTACTGCTCTGTGTGTGAAGCCAAAGTGGATATATTCAATTTTTCGATGTAAAGCTTTCGTGACTATAGGGATTCATCTTCTTGGTTCTTTCGGTAAAGTCATCACGTAGAAGGGAAATAATAAAAATAAAACATAATAAAATAATTCTCACGACGTTTCGGCCACAACGCAAGCAGCCGTCCTCAGGTGGAGAACAGGTCTGTCGATAAGATAGAGTCTGAATGACACTGTCTTCATTCAGACGCTGTCTTCTCGACAGACTTGTTCTCCACCTGAGGACGGCTCCTTGCGTTGTGGCCGAAACGTCGTGAGAATTATTTTATTATGTTGAATTTTTATTGTTTTATTATTTCCTTTCTACGTGACTTTACCGAAAGAACCAAAAAGATGGATATATTCACCTTGTCAGAGGAGTGTGGCTGTAGTCTAGGGGTGCAGTGATTGGCGATGGTGAACTGGGATGTGTTTATACAACAACAATAATGTTAATTTTAAAAATAGATAAATGTACGCGTACGACAGTGGCATTGTAACGCTTGTATCGTCGATTCTACAATAAAAATATAGAACACAAACAACAACAATGGATCATCATGGGACCTCCTTTGCCAGTACCAAAATATACTAATAGGGGTTTTCCCCTTTTTTCTGGCAACAAAACTGACACCTTTTGCAAAGAATCATGCTTACATTAGCCACTAGTCCACTCCTATTGCAGGCTGACTCCGCTGTCATTACCTCCCGTGGCCACTAGTCCACTCGTACTGCAGGCTGACTCCCCTGTCATTTCCTCCCGTGGCCACTAGTCCACTCCCACTGCAGGCTGACTCCCCTGTCATTACCTCCCGTGGCCACCAGTCCACTCACACTGCAGGCTGACTCCCCCTGCCATTACCTCTCGTGGCCACCAGTCCATTCACACTGCAGGCTGACTCCCCTGTCATTACCTCCCGTGGCCACTAGTCCACTCCCACTGCAGGCTGACTCCCCTGCCATTACCTCTCGTGGCCACTAGTCCACTCACACTCCAGGCTGACTCCCCTGTCATTACTTCCCCTGGCCACTAGTCCACTCACACTGCAGGCTGACTCCCCTGTCATTACCTCCCGTGGCCACCAGTCCACTCCCACTGCAGGCTGACTTTCCTGTCATTACCTCCCCTGGCCACTAGTCCACTCCCACTGCAGGCTGACTCCCCTGTCATTACCTCCCGTGGCCACTAGTTCACTAGCACTGCAGGCTGACTCCCCTGTCATTAACTCCCGTGGCCACTAGTCCACTCACACTGTAGGCTGACTCCCCTGTCATTACCTCCCGTGGCCACCAGTCCACTCACACTGCAGGCTGACTCCCCTGCCATTACCTCCCGTGGCCACTAGTCCATTCACACTGCAGGCTGACTCCCCTGTCATTACCTCCCGTGGCCACCAGTCCATTCCCACTGCAGGCTGACTCCTCTGTCACTACCTCCCGTGGCCACTAGTCCACTCCCACTGCAGGCTGACTCTCCTGTCATCACCTCCCGTGGCCACTAGTCCACTCATACCGTAGGCTGACTACCCTGTCATTACCTCCCATGGACACTAGTCCACTCGTACTGCAGGCTGACTCCCCCTGTCACTACCTCCCGTGGCCACCAGTCCATTCACACTGCAGGCCGACTCCCCTGTCATTACCTCCCGTGGCCACCAGTCCAATCGCACTGCAGGCTGACTCCTCTGTCATTACCTCCCGTGGCCACTAGTCCACTCACACTGCAGGCTGACTCCCCTGTCATTACCTCCCGTGGTCACCACTAGTCCACTCGCACTGCAGTCTGATTCCCCTGTCATTATCTCCCGTGGCCACTGGTCCACTCGCACTGCAGGCTGACTCACCTGTCATTACCTCTCGTGGCCACCAGTCCACTCGCACCGCAGGCTGACTCCCCTGTCATTACCTCCCGTGGCCACTAGTCCACTCGCACTGCAGGCTGACTCCCCTGTCATTACCTCACGTGGCCACTAGTCCACTCGTACTGCAGGCTGACTCCCTTGTCACTACCTCCCGTGGCCACTAGTCCACTCGTACTGCAGGCTGACTCCCCTCTCATTACCTCCCATGGCCACCAGTCCCTTCACACTCACAGCTGACTCCCCTGTCATTATCTCCCGTGGCCACCAGTCCATTCCCACTGCAGGCTGACTCCATGTCGTTACCTCCCCTGGCCACTCGTCCACTCACACTGCAGACTGACTCCCCTGTCATTACCTCCCGTGGACACTAGCCCACTTTTACTGCAGGCTGACTTCCCTGTCATTACCTCCCGTGGCCACCAGTCCACTCCCACTGCAGGCTGACTCCCCTGTCATTACCTCCCGTGGCCACTAGTCCACTCCCACTGCAGGCTGACTCCCCTGTCATTACCTCCCGTGGCCACTAGTCCACTCGTACTGCAGGCTGACTCCCCTGTCATTACCTCCCGTGGCCACTAGTCCACTCCCACTGCAGGCTGACTCCCCTGTCATTACCTCCCGTGGCCACTAGTCCACTCGTACTGCAGGCTGACTCCCCTGTCACTACCTCCCGTGGCCACTAGTCCAATCGTACTGCAGGCTGACTCCCCTGTCATTACATCCCGTGGCCACTAGTCCACTCGCACTGCAGGCTGACTCCCCTGTCATTACCTCCCGTGGCCACTAGTCCACTCGTACTGCAGGCTGACTCCCTTGTCACTACCTCCCGTGGCCACTAGTCCACTCGTACTGCAGGCTGACTTCCCTGTCATTACCTCCCGTAGCCACCAGTCCATTCACACTGCAGGCTGACTCCCCTGTCATTACCTCCCGTGGCCACTAGTCCACTCCCACTGCAGGCTGACTCCCCTGTCATTACCTCCCGTGGCCACTAGTCCACTCGTACTGCAGGCTGACTCCCCTGTCATTACCTCCCGTGGCCACTAGTCCACTCGCACTGCAGGCTGACTCCCCTGTCACTACCTCCCGTGGCCACCAGTCCACTCCCACTGCAGGCTGACTCCCCTGTCATTACCTCCCGTGGCCACTAGTCCACTCCCACTGCAGGCTGACTCCCCTGTCATTTCCTCCCGTGGCCACTAGTCCACTCCCACTGCAGGCTGACTCCCCTGTCATTACCTCCCGTGGCCACTAGTCCACTCGTACTGCAGGCTGACTCCCCTGTCACTACCTCCCGTGGCCACTAGTCCACTCGTACTGCAGGCTGACTCCCCTGTCATTACCTCCCGTGGCCACTAGTCCACTCGCACTGCAGGCTGACTCCCCTGTCATTACCTCCCGTGGCCACTAGTCCACTCGTACTGCAGGCTGACTCCCTTGTCACTACCTCCCGTGGACACTAGTCCACTCGTACTGCAGGCTGACTCCCCTGTCATTACCTCTCGTAGCCACCAGTCCATTCACACTGCAGGCTGACTCCCCTGTCATTACCTCCCGTGGCCACTAGTCCACTCCCACTGCAGGCTGACTCCGCTGTCATTACCTCGCGTGGCCACTAGTCCACTCGTACTGCAGGCTGACTCCCCTGTCATTACCTCCCGTGGCCACTAGTCCACTCGCACTGCAAGCTGACTCCCCTGTCACTACCTCCCGTGGCCACCAGTCCACTCACACTGCAGGCTGACTCCCCTGTCATTACCTCCAGTGGCCACCAGTCCACTCACACTGCAGGCTGACTCCCCTGTCACTACCTCCCGTGGCCACTAGTCCACTCACACTGCAGGCTGACTCCCCTGTCACTACCTCCCATGGCCACTAGTCCACTCACACTGCAGGCTGACTTCTCTGTCATTACCTCCCGTGGCCACTAGTCCACTCACACTGCAGGCTGACTCCCCTGTCACTCCCTCCCGTGGCCACTAGTCCACTCACACTGCAGGCTGACTTCTCTGTCATTACCTCCCGTGGCCACTAGTCCACACGTACTGCAGGCTAACTCTCCTGTCATCACCTCCCGTGGCCACTAGTCCACTCACACTGCAGGCTGACTCCCCTGTCACTACCTCCCGTGGCCACCAGTCCACTCACACTGCAGGCTGACTCCCCTGTCATTACCTCCAGTGGCCACCAGTCCACTCACACTGCAGGCTGACTCCCCTGTCACTACCTCCCGTGGCCACTAGTCCACTCACACTGCAGGCTGACTCCCCTGTCACTACCTCCCGTGGCCACTAGTCCACTCACACTGCAGGCTGACTTCTCTGTCATTACCTCCCGTGGCCACTAGTCCACTCACACTGCAGGCTGATTCCCCTGTCACTCCCTCCCGTGGCCACTAGTCCACTCACACTGCAGGCTGACTCCCCTGTCATTACCTCCCGTGGCCACTATTCCACTCACACCGTATAGGTTAACTCGATTGTCAATGCACGTCATGGGACCTCCTTTGCCAGTACCAAAATATGAGAATAGGGGTTTTCCCCTTTTTCTGGCAACAAAACAACCTTTTACAAGGAATCATGTCTGCATTAACCACAAAACTTGTGGTCAAGTATTCCTTTTTGGCATCCTCTGGTCTAACACCGTTTGAGAGGGGGCTCAAAAGAAAGCTGTCTCTGGTGTGGACCAATCAAATTCAAAGACAATGCATATATTATCAGAGTATGTTTTTTGTTTGCATTCTGACCACAAGGATTGTCACGACGTTTCGATCGCACAACAAGCAATCCTCATCAGGTGGGAACACCACAGCAAGAAAAAATGGTGAAGTGGGCGAGAGAGCTGCCGTGGCAAGAGGTTATATAGTTAAGAAAGGGGGGAGGAGCAAGGGGGCAGACAGAGGGGGGGGGGGTGTTGGGTAGGGGAAGGAGGTGGGCTGCGTGAGCGCTAGGGGGAGAGGAAGTGAGGCTGGGGGGGAAGTAGGCAGGGCTAGAAGTGGAAAGATGGAGGAGGAGGAGGCTGCGTTTGTCACGCTGCGTGATGGCCTCGTTAATGCACCTCCCCTTGGGTACTCCGATTGTTCTTTACCATTTGTGCTGGACACGGACGCCAGCGACACTGGAATCGGCATTGTGGTGAACAGGGTAGAGAGGATCGTAGCTTATGGGAACCGTGTACTGTCCCCCGCAGAGCAGCGTTATTGTGTGGTGCACCGTGAATTATTGTCTATTGTAAATTTCGTACAACAGTTCCGTCCGTACCTTTACGGTAGACAGTTTTTCG